CCCCCCGCTCCTGGGAGTGCTGAGCCCACAGACACGGGTGCTCCCCCAAGGTGTCTGGGTTCCACTGAGGAATCAGAGGCTCCAGCCCCCTTTCCTCTCCAGCCCATCCATCTCAGTAAGAATGAGCTAGCACACACGGACTCCACGGGACTTCTCACCTCTCTGCTCATTAACTCGCTTTGCCCAAAGCCAAGTCTCTGAGTAGACCCCCGAGAATATGGCTAGAATTATTTTACCAGATCTGGCAGTGCTTGGGGTCACTGGGGTTCAAGGTGACTTTCTTGCCCGGGGGTAAGCGCCGGCCAGCCACCTCACACACAGGGCAGTCATCGAGGTCGACGCAGGTCTGCAAAAGCTCATCCAGGATTTTCCCTGCACGACAAACTCCAATCAGGAGAGAAAGTCCTCCTCTGCCCAAAGGAGGACCCTCCCTTAACCACAGGAGCCCATCCCTGGAGCCAGCTCAGGGTTCACTCCTGCCGCCCCCCCCCTCTCCCGTGGTCACCCCAACCCTCAGGGACGATCTCTCTTTCTTTGTGCCCTACTTTATTCCTCGTCAAATCAGGGAGGGCGTACTGCTTCCCGACCGACCGACCGACCCCGAGTCTGGGACCAATGAAATCGCAGCTGCAGGGCTCTCTGGGCTCCCCGGAAGTCTCCAGCAGTTCTGGTCGGCACTGTGCCGGACAACAGTCACTAGTCACGGGCGGCCTTTTCCATTTCAATAAGGCAAAGCTAAGCCAAATGGCCACTGCGAGTCCTCAGTCATACCAGGGAAGTCTCTCAGAAAGCGCTGTTGCCATGCTAAGCCTGCGTCCATCAGCCTGCGGGAGCCCCGGCAGCGGTGTTCTGCATGGTGTGCGATGGTGCAGTCTCCAAAGTACACCTGTAGGCCTTTCTCCCGAGGGGCCTCGGAGTGGATGCTGACTCCCACCCTTTCAGCCAGCAGCTGAGCCCCCGGGACTCCACACCCAGAGAGTCACACAAATGCATTTCATGGGGACCCAACTTGACGAAACCCATCGCTGGCCTGACATGAGGGCTGGAAGGCCGTGGACAGGACAGCACTGGGGGGCAGCTGAAAGTGGGTAGGACAGGGAAGCCACTTGCCTAACACTTACCCCCTCCCTCCCTCCAGCCTGAGTCGGTCCCAGGAGCCCAGCACTCCCCTTGCCTCGCCACCGAAGCCTTACCTGGGGGGCAGTGTGCGTGGCAGCCCTCCACACACTGCACAGGACACACCAGGGGCTCCGGGTGCTGGCAAGTGACGGGGCAGGCGGGGGCACAGCTGTTATAGCGCCACTCGCACTCATACCCGTTTTCCCGCACATTCCTCTCCTCGCAGCTTTGGGCTGTGGAGACAGAAGAAAGGGACTGTAGCCATTCAAGCACCAGGCAGTCCTGTGCAGCCCGGGAAGCCAGCTCTGCCCAGAGGCCCGGAGCAGACTGGGATGAGACTGAAGGCGGCAATGGCTTTGGGGAGGTGATGATCGCATTGGAGAACTGGGGTCTCCCAGAAGTCCCTGGTCCTGAGAGCCGCCAATCTCTGAAGCCCTGACACCAGGAGCCAGTGGTTTTCCATAGGCAGACAAAGGAGATTGGTTGCTTGCCCTGTGCCAGGCAGGCACCAAGTAAATACATGAGCTGCTCATTCGTAGTGACACATGCGACGATGACCAGTTAAAACGAGATACTGACTCCCTTCTTCTCTTCGTCAGGGCTCCCCCTCCCAGAAGTCCCCTGGAAGAGACATCTCTGCATATCAATGTGGTGCATCCCTGACCCTTCCCTCCCATGACACTAGCTCCTGCACACGGCAGGTTCCGTGAGCTCTCCTTGAGCTTGGGCCATCCACCCACACACCCAGAGGGGGGTCTCCTTGGCCCCGTTAGCCTTGACATCTAATACATGCGGGGTGAGGGGTGGGGCGTCTGAGGGTCCTGAGGGGCACAAGAACTCACGGCACAGCGTGGCCGTCCTCCAGGTCACCACCAGGCCGTGCTGGGCACAGGCATGGGCATAGGCAGCAACGGTATCGCAGAAACAGGCGCAGTCCCCAATGGACTCGCAGGAGCAGGTGTCGTAAATGCAGGCCTCCAGGTACGGCTCGGGGTCCACCTGCAACAGGAGACTCAGGGTGGCCAAGGCCCGGCCAGGGCTCAGGAACTCAGGCTCTTAGTCTTGGCGAGAATGTTCTGGTCTCAGAGTAAGGGAAGGAGGTTCCGGGCCAGGGCCAAAATGCAGTTCCATGGTCCCAATGAGGGAATGGGTAGATTAAATTCTAAACTGGCTTCCAGCAAGAAATGTTTGATGAAAACAGTGTTGCCGGCCTTTTGTGGACTATGAGGTCCCTGAGAATTGTTCAAAGGAATATTCAATCCCCTTTCCAACTGTCCACCTAGCAGTCATCTATCCCCCCTTAACCTACTCCAACCTCGTACATATTAGTGTTTTTACGCAAACACACACACGCTGCCCTCAATTCCCTTTCCTTGCTTCTTGTCAGCAAAGGCGATGAGAAGCATGCCAAACGGCAGGTGTGATGGGGCCGGTATGCTGAAGAGTGAGAGCGAGCTGGCTACCCCTGGCATCTGGGCCCGAATCTTCTTGGAAGGACAGCCCACCCCGCATTTACATACAACTACAGCACGAACTCTCTCCTGCCCTGCCGCCAAACACACCAGCCTTTCCCAGGGAAGTTCTGTTGGAAATGCATTCAGAACTCAAGTGGGGGCCACTGTTGCAGGGGGTGCCAACAGCCCTAACTTCCCTGGCTCCTCTCACTGTCTTCCCTCCTCCAGTTTAGATGCTCGGGCTGCCACCAAGTCACGGAATTCTAAGTGCCCTTTGCTGTTCTCGGAGGGGCGGAGGTGGGGGAGGGCAGGAATCATTGGATGACTATCAAGACAGCTGAGATGCATGTATTCAAGCAGTCACTCCCATGGTAGCCAGGTTACACAGCAGCATGTGCATATGCACCTGGCTGACTATGTATGTGCACACACGAAACACACATACTCTCCCACGCCCATGTGCATTTGTAACACGGGAGAGCCCCCCCCCCCCATTCCACTTTGTATTGGGCATCCCTCACTACCATGTGCTATGAACACAAGGAGCCATGCGGTAAACACTGAGGTCAGGTCAGAGCGCGTTCGGTGAAGAATGGGTTGGGACTGGAGAAGGGTGCTGTGAGAGGACGTGCATAGGTCTGGAAACAGACAGGGGTGTCAGAAGAAGGACATCTCTGACTCAAGTGTGGGATGAGATCCTTCAATGGAGGAACAAGGCTGGAGGCCAATGTAAAGGGAGACACGTTCACAAACGCCAGCAAAAACTGCGCACTGCTCAGAAGGAAAATGTTTCTTCAGGCAATACGCTCCCCAGAAACTGCCCTTTCTCCTTGTGCTTCTTCCAAGGCTGAAGCTAAGAAAGGGACCAAAGATCTACCTATGGTTGGGTGCCACCAAGCCAACTTCAACTCATAGCAGCACTAGGTGACAGACTAGAACTGCCCCACGGGGCTTTCTTGACTGTGATCTGTAAGGGAGCAGACCCCAGGTCTTTCTCGTAGCCAGACACTCAACCAGTGGACCACCAAGACTTGCTAAGAAGGTGGCAGCCATGCCAGGACGTCATGTTCTGAGTGTCCCCTGCCCTCACCAGCTTGTTGCAGCCCTGGAAAAGGTCACTGGTCAGGATCCTGCAGGAGGAATCCACCATCGCCTGCTTCATGAGGTTGTTGTGGCAAGTGGCAGGGGTGGCGTCCAGCGGCACCTGAGGAGTGAGGCAGGAGCACACAGGTGGGCCAGCCAACAGCCACAAGGATCCACAGGTCCCTTTCCCCAGACCCACGCGCAGCCCACAGCCCCAAGCCCCTGCTCCAGCCCCAGTGAGAGTGTGGGATACAGTGGGCCGGAAGCAGGCCTCTCAGACGTACTTTCCTGGTGTCGGCACACTGCGGGTTCACCTTCCAGGAGTTCCCAAAGTCCACTGGGTCTTCTTCCAGTTGGAGGTTGCTGCTGGTGAAGTCATTGTTCTGGATGCCATCAAAATTCCCACACAGGCCACACACTTGCTCCTTGATAACAAGGCGAAAAGGCAAGGCCTGTAAACCTCAGGGGTACCCTCTCCTCAACTCTCCTCTCCTCGTCTCTGGGAAGAGGAAGGAGGACGTTCCAGGCAGCAAAGGAGACAGGGGTGTCTGAGGAAGAGGGTTGGGGGCAGGATAGAGGAAAGATGAGGAAGAGGGGCAGGGATGGAGACCCAGGGGAACCAGGTTGGTCAGCAGAGCCTTGCCCGGGCCAAGGCCTTTCTGGGTCTCCTCACCGGCCCTATTAGGACAAGGAAGCAAAGGTCCTGCACAAGGGAAAACCCCTTGCTCACCTTCACATTGTAAGCCCAAGGCAGACAGAAGTGGGAAGGAGGCAGCCTTGGCCCTAGAACTACCAGACTGAACCGCCTCCCTCCCCAGTAAGTATGAGCAGAGGGGCCTACTGGTTCACAGGGAGCCCTGGAGGCTGCTGACAGGCCTGCTCTAACAGGCAGTGAGCGCCCTCGCCTGGAGCCCTGGAGCCCGGCCAGGGCAGACCAGCTGCTCTACAGTAAACACCACCTGAGTTCACCTCTCACTGCGGGCCACACCTCCTGAATGAGGAGTGGCTGAGAAACCGGAAGCCATGAAATAAAACGACAGGAAGAAACGACCCCCATGGTCTGGTCTGGCAAACAGAGGGTGCTATGTCTGTACCCCGTATTGCAAACTCGCTCTGGAGACAAAGACTTGTGACTTAGTCCTCCGTTACATCGGTGACAACATGATTTGGCTTAGAACACTGAGTGTAAATGACTGGGTAGTGAGTAGGTTGGATGTTGTCCCAGTTGCACAAATGGTCAAAGGTTGGTCAGTGGAGTAGGAGCCCCTCCCCAGGGTAAAGTGAGGCCACCTGGCTCTAACACTGGCTCCAAGCACCTTTCTTTCTCCCATTCCAGCTGCCCCCGTCTGCTCCCCGGATACCGACATGCTCACCTCGTCTTCCTGGACGCTCTGCTCACCTCTACACTTCTGTCATCTCTCAGACAGGTCTCACCAGACCAGCCAATCCAAAATCATATCCCTGCCAAAATAGCACCTCTACACGGGCTGTGGAAGCCAGATCTAGACCCAACGATGCCCACACCCTAATCCCCAGAATCTGTGGTGGTGCTTCCCTGCATGGTGTTACAGCTGGAACTGTGTACTCTCAAAATATATGTTGTAAACATATATACTAAATATATAGTATATACATTATATGTGTGTGTGTGTATATATATATATACACATATACCTGTGGCAATAGTCCCCTTGGTTTTTCTTTGTTAAATTGAACAAACATATCAGTGTAGGGGGTGTCCTGAGCCTATCTCTTTTGAGATATAAAAGGAGTAAATTAAGATACCAACAGAGAGAGAGCCTGGTCCGGCACCTAAATCGGACATCCAGCCTCCTAAACAGCAAGGGAATAAATTTCTGATGTTTCAAGCCACTCGTGTGTGGTTATTTCTATTATAGCATCACTGGATGACTAAGACACACAGCAAAGGAGACTCTGCAGATAGGAGTAAAATAAGGATCTTGAGACGGGGCACGGGGTGGGGCGGGGGTGGTTACCTGGGATAATCTACAGGTGCCTGGTACAATCAGGGGGCACTTAAACCAGGAAGACAGGAGGGTCAGAGTGAGAAAAAGCAGTGTGGCCAGTAGAAGCGGAGAGGCAGAGTGGACGATGCTAGGCAGCTGGCTCGGAAGGAGGAGAAGGAGGAGGAGGAGGACAGGACCGCGTGGCAAGGAGAGCAGGAGGCCTGTGAAAGCTAGAGGCTCCAGCAGTCGACCAGCGTTCGAACTGTGAGGTAGCAAGTGTGTGCTGTGTTAACCACGAAGCATGTGGTCATTGGCTACAGCAGCAAGAAGGCACTAACATAGAGGCTGTATTTAAAGTGTTGCGTTTCGCCCTGCTGTGCGTCCAGTGCCTGGATCAGAGTCTGATACACAGCAGGTTTGTTTCCTTCAAGCTGCCATCGAGTCAGCTCTGACTTGTGGGACTGTGTGTGTGTCAGGGTAGAACTGTGCACCATGTGGGTTTCAGCAGTGGGTTTTTCAGAAGCAGATCACCAGGCCTTTCTTGTGAGTGCTGATGGGCGGACATATACCTCCAACCCTCCAGGCAGGAGCCGAGTGTGCTAACCGTTTGCACCGCCCAGGCACTTCCTGATACGTAACAGCAACTCAACAGTGTTGGTTGCAGGAATGCGTGACTAGTTCAGCTGCAGTTCAAGAACGCCAGCTCTTCCCAGGAGAAAGACGAGGCTTTCTACTCCTGTAAAGTGTGACAATCTCGGAAGCCCACGGGGCACTTCCACCCTGCCCTATAGGGTGGCTGTATGTCAGAACTGACTCAGCGGCAGCCGGCGTTTCCAGGAAAGGAATGGGCCATCCCTTGAAAAAGTAAGAAGGGCTGCCCTCCGCTATGCGCACCAGTTGTAAGCGATGGCTGTTCCTACGCTGCTGCAAGCGAAGGTCACGCCTACAGAGACGCAGCGGCAGCAGCCGTAGTGCACGGAGCTGCCTGTCACAGGCAGGCCAGTGAGAGAGGGTAAAGTCAACACAAAACCAGCACAAAACCCATGCACAGCTTTTCCTACAGGGAGGTCCTCAGCTCTCAGACTCGGTGAATCCTTGACTCAATGCTAAGGCGATACCCCAGAATACTGTGCAGGCTTTTCCATCATGTCTGACATGATCAGTTGGCCTCTTCAGTCGAAAAACCTAAGGAAAACCCATTACTTTAATCTTTTATTTCCTTTTTCTTTGGATAGCAACTGCATACCTGGCAAAAGCAGTCAATGCCCTGTTTGTGTATGGGAGAACCCTGAAGCCTCCCCCTATGCAGGCGGGCTCTGTGTAAGGTAGCCACAGCTAATTGTGAGCTGGAGAAGCTGCTTTAGGTCAAGGTCAAGATGACTGGATGAAATGACTCCCCTCCTCTAGAAACAGTGGGGGGGGGCCATTAGCAGCCACTGGGGAAGCTGAACAAGGTCCAAGTCTTAGATAAGCTGAAGAGGAAGTGAGAAAGGCACTCACCTGGTATGTCTGCTTCAGGACCACGGAGATGGCCAGGTGGTGGTCCCAGACCACAGAGAGCCCTCTGCCCAGCAGCAGAATGACATACCGGCCCGATTCCACCACCTCAAAGTGAGTGGAGTCCTTAAGGGGCTTCTTCACAATCACCTGGAAGAAAACAAGGGGTGAAACAGGAAGGAGGAAAAGGTAGGAGCGTGATTCCAGGCCCTCTCTCACCCCTCACCTGCCCTATCTGTCTCCATTGCCCCACTGACTCAAACAGGACCACGCCTAGACATTCCTGTGCCCATCTCACCTGCCACTCTTCAGGAATTAGAGGGCCAAGGGATGATTATAGAGGCGGCAGCCACATCGTAGTTATGAGATTAAAAATACAACCATACCAACCACAGAAGAGCTTCCATGACGTCACAAAAGGCAGTTTTACTGGCACTTGGTCTTTAAATGCATGTGGTCTCTTGGATGGGATGGAAATGTGGCCGTGATCTTCAACTCCGGGAGTGAGTTACATGTTAAGAGCAGGCGTTGGGAACCACCAGCCACTCCAGGGCAGAAGCATGAGGTTTTCCACTCCTGTCAGGAATCAGTCTCAGAAACTCGCAGGGGCCTATCTGGGCTTTCCCACAGGATTGCTGAGAATCAGAATCAATTCAGTGGCTGTGAGTTTGAGCTGTGGGATTTTTTGGAGGTAGTGGATTAAAAGAATCTACCCCTTTATAAAGCCCCACCCTACAGCCTTCCCTGTGCTCCCACATCCGTCTGGCAGAGCAGAGAGGCCGAGGGGCACAGCTGTAAGCCAGGAGGCTCAGATTCCAGCTTTGCAGGAGGGTGGTAGTTACATAATCTGGTGTCAACTTGTGAAGGGGAGGAGTTGAGCTTGTCAATCTGATCACAACTTCAAGACCTCATTGAGAGGTGCCATGGAGATAAATAGTTGACTGGAAGCCAGATACACCCACTCCCTGTGAGACATTACTGACAACGAGCCTGATGGAGCTACGCTGATGCAGCCAGAGTCCTGGAGCTGCAGGGGCCATGTGGAGACCCATGCCAGCACTGAGATGCTTCTACTGCCGCTGGATCCACAAGACCTTCCACCCACTGGCTTGTGATCTTCCTGCATTCGGCATCATTGCATGTGTTGTGAGTATGAAAAAGATTTACAGATTGGTATCAGACATATGGGATAATATTGGACTTACAGACTTGATCTGGACTTAGCTGGGCTGTTTTCTCAATTTTCAATTACTCTGCTATCTATATACTCTTTCTTATACACACATGAATGTCTCTCGATTTGTTTCTCTAGCCACAAGGAGGATCTAACACAAGGAGGATCCAGGCCTGAGCCCTTGACTTGGCTAACCATGGCCAGGGCCTTCCTCTCAGTGTGTCTGGCTGACTATCTACCCCACAGAATTGAGGCTGATCCTGAGAACCTGTCACTCCCTTGCAAACGTTCTCTCCTGGTGACAGCATGCAGAGCAAATCAAATGTGCAGATTTGTGGCTCATTTGTGAGAACACTACTCAAGGTCACCACTGTCATCTGGTCTAAGTAGAGTGCCCTCTGGATTGGAGTTGACACCACTGATGCACAGCCGAGCACGACGCTGGCTGGGCAGCATTCTGTAGTCAGGATGCCGCCGTCGCCCTCCATCCCCAGAGCTGCATGGAGTGCATGTGCAACAAAGGCCGGGCTGTGCACAGGCTGAGCCGCGGAACAAGGGAGGTAACTGGCCAGCCAGGTTGGTCCCAGAGCCTGGGTCTCCCGAGAATTATACCTGGTCGGGCCAGCTGAGCATGACAGCCTTTCCTAAAAGTGAGGACGAGGGAGCCCCTGCCGCTTCACATGCCGATTCCTGGGCTTCAGCCCAGAACTGCGGAGTCAGGATCCCAAAGGGGAGCCCAGGGATCGGCAACTGAAACAAGACCTCCTCGGTGATGCCTGGGTAGTTAAGAGCCTCGTCTTTGACCCTTAGCTCAGAGACTGGATCTGCCTAACTTCTCACTGGAAACCCTCACACAGAAAGTCTGCAAAACGATGGGTCTGAAAACATAACAGCAAGCAAAGATATCCCATGAGTCCAGCACTCCTCACCTCCACCCACACACACCCAAAACTACGAGCGCTGACCTTGTGGGGGATTTTATGTATAATAAAATAGCTGATGGAGAATAAGAAGGGAAAGCCCCTAGCTTTCATTCCCCACTCAGCCCCGCAGAGCCAAGCACTGGTTCTTCGGATACTTATGGATAGATGGTTACACATCTGTGTCCACACAGTGCCTGTACTTTGTGTTAGGAAGATAGGACCATGCTGGCCGTAATGGTCCGCAGCTGACCCTTCTTATAGAGCACCGTGTCAGGGCCAGAGATGGAGCTCTACCTCATTCTCCTCACGGTGCCCACTGTTTCATTCACCCAAGCTCCAAGCAAATGCTTGATATGGGCTCTTAACCAGCTGCCAGAGAATGGAGGAGGAGCGAGGGAGACAAGGATGAGGCCGCACTTACCTCCTCATCAAACAATTCAATCTCTCCTCCATCCATCAGGATGGTGACCCGCTTTTTGCATTTCGCTGAGGGGTAGCCGCATCCCTCATTCCTCACCAGGATCTGGAAGGTTCCAGGGTTGCCCCCACATTGATCCTGGGAAGAGAGAGTGTGTTAGTCTGGGTATATTAGAGAAATAAATCCACAGAAACTCATGTATATGAGAGAGTTTTATGTAAAGGGTAAGTTCACATCAAGAAAACATCC